TCCCCCCACCGCGCCCATGTGCCCGCCATAATGCACAGGGTGTCGCGGAAGTCGTCCGCTTTCGGCCGACTGCGATTGTTACGGTCGTAGCGCGAATCCGGGTTCAACTGCCGGAGTGAACCGAGGCGAGTCTTGCTTCCTTTGCGATCTCCTGGAGGATACAGCGCGTAGGTTCTCTTCTTTTCCCTTTCTGTCTCGCTGAAGATGCCCTCTTCTGCAGTGAGAAGTCTCAAACCGAGAGGCGACCCGCTGATCCTCGAGTTTCGCAATAATCAGAGTGCTGCTAAGAGCGGTGAACGACATTACTTCCGCGACACCTCGTATATGCACGTCCGTACACGAAGGGGTGCGTGAGGGAGCGTGCGTGAGCGAGCCGAGCGCAGAGTGTCGCGCCACTTGTCGCGAGAACGCACGTGTCGCATGCTATTGGAGCCGGCAAAAGGGTGACACGCGGTAGTCCACGCCATACGTGCCATTTTCCATTCTATATGCGACATACATGTGCATACGTGCGTGTGCACGGCATCGTGACTCCTTCCTATTCGCGTTTATACATGTGTACGCGCGCGAGGACTTTAAAGTGAAATAAATTAGACATTTTCGAGCCGCGGGGTGAGATCGAGAGAGAGAGAGAGAGAGAGAGAGAGAAAGGGGGTGAGCGCGAGCAACCCTTCTCGGCTGGACCGCGCGCCGGCGTGACGTATCGGCGAGGGTGTGAAAACGCACGAAGGGTGCGTTGTAGCGCGTTTCGATAACTACGATCGCGGTTTCGACACATTTGTCACTATCGTTTATTGCGCGCGTTACCGATATTAAACGCCACGGTAGATACAGTCGCACGCCGTTCATGAACCCAGGGACGATTTTTTAATCGCCCCTCACTCTCTTTATATATATCTCTCTCTCTCTGTCTCTCGCAGCGCGACACCAAATGTCGCGCTCGCCGAGCGCGGTCTGGGATCTCGAGGGTGATTTTAATTGAAGGTAAAGCGCCCTGTACTGATTTAAATCGACCCTTCGTCACGCGCTCTTTCGCCGCGGACTTTATATCGACAGCGCGACTATGTCGGCCGTAATGTATTATTACGACTGTATACCGCGAGTGGAATTGTGAACGGTGCGTATTGCAGTCGCGAATTAAATTCGCTGAGAGTTCGCGTTACAAATTTCTCAATTTGTGATTTGCCAGTTCGCTTTTGATTTTTATTTTATAGAATATTTATCAACGCCGGGACACTAGAACAAAATATATCCGTGTGAAAATGAAGTAACACGGGATTGTTTTAAAAAATAATTACTTTACTTTATGCGCTCGTGTTCTTTGCTTCGGGATATATCATATTGAATTTTTATTCCGGAAAATATTGGTTCCAGAATAAAGCTAAAATGAAACGTTTCAGTGGAATAATAAAATATAATTTTTGCGTTTTGAAAGATAACCACTTTCGATTCGCAACCTTTACTTTGAAAGATATTTTGGATTTTTATTCTAGAGATAACATCGACAAAACGTCAGAATAAGAATAGAATAAAACATTTCGGTGTAGAGGTGAGATAAGAGAGCTGTCTTGAGAAATAAGTATTCTACTTGATCGGATATCTCTCTTTCCTTTAGGTAATATTAATTTGAATTTTTATTCCGGAGGAAACATCAGCGTGTTCGTATGAAACCAGAATAAAACGTTTCTGCATAGAGATGAGATGAAAGGGAGCTGTTTTGAGAAATAATTACTCTACTTTATCGGCTCGTAATCCTTGCTTCGGGAGATATTACTTTGTACTTCTGGGGAGGGGGGAGAGGGGGAACATCAACGACACAATACCGCAGTATGAAAGCAGAATGAAACGTGTCGGTGCGGAGATGAGATAGGAGAGGGCTGTTTTGAGAAATAATTGCTCCACTTCAGACGTATCTTACGGCGATACGAAGTACGCGAAAGGGTGCAACGGCACCGCCGAGCATGCTCCAGATGCACCTGTTTTTCTTCCACGGCCGAGCCGCGAACGGCCCGCATATTTTGCGCGCATGAGACGCGCGCACTTTTAAGTGGATCGTCCGCATTTTCACCTCCGCCGGATAATGACTCGTGCACGCACACAATTACGCGCAATTTGTCGTACTTATCGACGCGAGCATCGTGACCGCGGCGGTACGCGGTCGTGTGCGCTGTGCTCTTTCACGAACGGCCAGCCCACGGCGAGAATACACACGGTGTTCCTGACCGATCGCACACTTCGCGAAGATCGTTGAGACGAAACGCGCACGAGATAACATCGAGCGACGAGTGACGGCGGAGCCTCGAACGGGAAACGTCCGGAGAGCAAGAACGACCGATCCCGGGGCGTTTAGGTAGTTTAGAAACAGCCGCTGCATTTCGCCGAACGAAGTGCGTTTGCGTTTCCTGAAGGACCGTTCGTCAAGTCCGGAGTTGCCGTTTGAAGAGAAGACACACGGGTCGGTTAGTCGATCGTGAACACCCCTTATGTCGACGTCTTTACACATTTTGCATACCTCGAGCCAAGGCCGCACTACTTTGTACCGGCTCTTCTTGGCCGATCGGCTCTCGCCGACATTTTTATCTAAATTAAACCAGTTCCCTGAAGTAAAGGAGATACGTCGCCGAACGACGACGAGCGTTAACTGTTACGCGAGCGCCCGCCGTGAAATTTTCCTAACCGAAAACAAGGATGTCCTGCTTACAGAAATACATTTTGCATTTATTATTTATCTTAAGATTATCAAAACTTACATGAATTATGGTCTCTCTCTCCCCCTTCTTTTTGTGTCTATCTCTACGTAAAATTCATCTTTAAATAAAATTTACTCAGGTGGAAGATTTCGAGGTATGGAAGTGACTCGCTCTCTTTCGCGAATCATTAATTTGCGAAATTTAATTGCGCGAATTGTTAATTTATGAAATGTAATTTCACAAATTGCTAATTAATGGAAGTGACTTCCGTAAGTTATTAGTTTGTGTAGATCTTAACGGCTCCCACAAGTAGCAGGCAACGCGATACCAGCGCGATACGTGTTAGGTTGAATCGTCGGCCGGGATCGGGTTCATGTATTGTATTTATCATGGTAAAAGCGAGAGCGAGAGAGAGAGAGAGAGAAAGAGAGAGAGAGCTCGGAGCGGCAGCTGTCGGCCGGCGTGTGCTGGAAAAGCAGCCTTTTCACCTGCCCGTCCGTGCCGAACGATACTAATTGCGAGATAACGTTCTCTTAATATTTCTGCCCTCGCGACAAACGTTGCCACAGTTGTGGCGCAACCCGATATGCCCCGGAGACATGGCCGTCGTCCGCGAAAACGCGAGTGAAACAACACTCGCGACGTTTTACGTTACTCCGCAGATCAGCGCGAGATACCGTTTCCTTAATGAAACACCGCTGACGCTTAATAAAGATACACAACGAAAGTAAGTAACCGGTCGCTTAAGGAACACGCCTGCGAACTGACGCACTCGCCCCTAGCGATTTAATTTCGCGTCTTACGCGTAATAAGCGCCGCGTGTCAAGTCCACGCTCTAATTAAGTTCGCATTAGCGCCCGTCGATTGCTCGTTTACGCGCACGGTCGATTTCACACCCGCGCAAACACATACGCGTGTGCACGTGTACGCGTATACGCCTAGATCTATGTGTCTAGATCTAAAAATGACAAATCTAGAATCACGCGTTTCATCTGTTCATATCTTCTGTGAAAATGAACAAGATTTAATGACTTCTTCTCTTAATCGGTGCAGAAAACATCGAGAAATACGAATCTATTGATGCTTTTGCGACTGCAGTTGAAAATAGTTATAATAAGAAAACGAAACGCATGTTTGTAAAAACAGATAATGCTCGAAAAGTTGGTCTGGATGAATTTTACTCATGTTCAGGGTTCTAGTGCCAGATAACTGTTAGATCTGTCACTTTGACCGCTCTAACAGAAAGAAGTCGTTCATTATCGATGTGAAATGGCTTCGCAAAATTTGTCTCGCGGAGTCGGCCGACGAACAGTCCGCAGTTATCTCTCGAGCGCATTGCGCCCGAACGGAGATGCGAAGATCCGCGTAAGAGCCGGATGAAAGTGCATGCGTGCGAGCGATAGGGGTGATGCACGCGAGGCTAGTTTTCGTGGCATCGCGTTTCGCCTCTCCTCACACTTGCACCCGCCCACACATACATATACACACACATACACGTGTGCGCAAAGGGGGCACGCACTCGCGCTCGATTGTTTCGGATCGCACCGTTGTCGCGGAAATGCGAATTCGCACGCTCGAGGTGATATTCATAATACGATGCCATTAATTACTCATTGTCTCTGCGACGGCGCCGCTCTGCCTTCCCTTTTTCCGTGTCTCTCCCTCGGTCTCTCTCGTTCTCTCTCTTTCTGTCCGCCTGTCTCGGCTACATCGTACGTATCGCCTTAAAAGTCTCACTCGTGGAGGCATCACGCACTCGAGCAAATCATAATACGATATGCAACGCGTCAGTAACGCGTGATACAAGACTCTCACTCGCTCTCTCTCTCTCTCTATTATTTTTCATCTACCTTATTATGATTTCCCTCCAACGGGAGAGAGAGATTGGCGTATCCTCGTTGCAGGAACGCCGGAAACGACGGACAACGGAGCGAAGGGGTGCATGCGAGTACAATTAGAGATACATTATTCATCAAACACCGTAGTAGAGCGAACGTATAATATATTAATGCACACACCTTGCGTCAACGTGAAAGCACGTAAACATTGTGTTCGCGTGGGCATTACATGCTCGTCAAGTGAGAATATTGTTCGCCTTTTAATTTGCTCAATTATCGATACGCTCTCCTTGCTCCTCCGTCGAGATAATTAATATAAGTGCGTTTAATACGCCGCGTTACCGTGAATATGTGTGCGTGTGCGTGCATGCGCGTTCGAAGACGGGAAGAAACCGTACGTTAATTCTCTTAAACGCTCCAAGATGTTGCACACCTGTCTCGAAATCGCGTATCGAGAACATTGTTGTTTCAGGGCTACACGCCGCTGCATATTGCCATGCAATTCGATCACGAGAACATATTCAACCTTTTGGTTCAGGTATACGGTGAGTAGACGCACTCTCTTTCTCTCTCTCTCTCTCTCTCTCTCTCTCTCTCTCTCTCTCTCTCTCTCTCTCT